ATGGGTTGAGACTCAATGAGATATTCAATGAAAAACTATAGCAAAATGTGCTCCAGGATGTCCCACAAAAACTGTTGGAGTTTAATAAACTTTTTTCATGTTCATATGATAAATCCAATTTGAAAATGGCATTTATAATGCAGAAACAAAAGTCATGTTACATTGTGTGATGTATGATTTATTTCCCCCAGAAATTAGTACCTATGGGGATTTCCATTTATCTGCACCTCTGCCATCAATGTGAGGACCTTCTCCTATGCCACCACTATGATGTCAAATGTGGAGACATTCTAGATGTCCTCGTAGTTCCTGTGGGAGACTTTATTAATTTAATCTCCCTCCCAAACACCACTACTCTTGATTAACCCGGATGTTGGTCATCCACCCCAAGTGGTTTATTTCCTTTCCACTTTGATTAAATAGCCATTAAACACTTCCATACTGATTGAGATGTGGGTTTTTCACATTGTCATGTCTACATCAGGTATGGGGAAACCCAGGCCCGGGGCCAGAGTGGCCCTCCTCTCTCTCTCTCACCATCTTATTCTACCATCCTTCTCTCTTTTCTAACCTACTTCCCTCACTCCCTTCTTTCCTTACCTCCCTCTCTCCCTCCCTCCTTCCCTTCCACACTTTTGTTCTTCCTTCTGCCCTTCCTTCTTTCCTTTCCCCCCTCTTTCCTTCCTTCTTTCTTTCCGCCCTCCCTCCATTCCCCTCCACCCTTCCTTTGTTCCTTCATTCCTCCCTCCCCTCCCGCCATCCTTCCCTTCCCTTCCTTCTCTTTTTCCTTTCCTCCTGGAGGATGTTTATCTGGGAGAAGAGAAGGTAGAGAGGGAACACGAGAATCATGTTTCTAGATTTAAAAGCGTGTCCCATTGAGGAGGAAGAGGGAGGGGAAAATGGACTTTCTGCTGCTCTAGAGACCAGGGCACAAGGAAGCAATGGGTTCAAATGGCAGGGAATGAGATTCAGCTGAAAAGATTAGGAAGAACTTCCTGGGGAATGGCATAGGCTGCTTCAGAGTGTGGTGGAATCTCCTCTTCTGGAGGCTTTACTGTCTATTGGGAATGCTTTGATTGTGCCTTCCTGCATGGCAGGGGGTTGGACTGGAGGGTCTGTGGGGGTCTCTTCCAGCTCTAGGATTCTAGGATTATATATCAGGAGCAGGCAAGATGGGTTCTAATGGATACACTTTTTCTCTCCCATGCACCATCTCATCCTGACCAAGGCCAAACCTTTTGGGATCCAAACGGTTCCCATATTTCTTTCACTTTCTGTGTCCAAAAGAGGAGAGGAAGAGGAGGAAAGGATAGAGAGTAGGGCTGGGTAACAA